AAGCCTTAAACCCTAAAACCTAAACGGTAAGGCTGAAGCGCAGGCAGCTCAACCTCAACCCTTGACCCAACTCTTCTTTGAGCTATAAGGCCGCTAGGCTCTTTACGTGCTCTACAAGGGCCTTGCTCGTGACTCAACATCTGAATCACGCAACAAGGGTAATGCGTTAAGGGAACTGGGGCACAATTTCTCAGCGGAAGCCCGAACTTGCCACCTTGCTCATCGTGAACAGGTTTAGGCTCGGGTTGTGGTTTAGCGCTTTGCGGGTTAATGTGCTTCATTGCCTCACGTAAGGTTTAAGGTTCAGAGTTTTGCGGTTTTGCCATTTGCGGTTGCTGGCTGAGAAGATTGCAGGGTTTAGGACCTCTATGGTTTTGCAGGTTTCGCTGGGATCACGGCATGTGCCCAGCTCACAGCAGGCTTCGAGCTACAGTGATTCCGAAGTTTGGGTTCCACCAAAACGATAAACCTGAGGCCTTTCAGCTTGGAACGCAGACACACTCACCAAGATATATTTCCGCATGCCAAGCTTGGCACCCTATACTGGCCCTACACCCTAAACCCAAATTCATAACCCTACTCTTGAAGGGTGTGGAGTAGAGAGAGTATGCTGGCACCTGCAAGAAAGTAGGTTCTGAGCATTTTGCCGCAAACCCTCAATCCACATGATGTCAACCTCCTGGCTCGCAGGGAAAGTTTGACAGATGGTGGGATCCATCCATGCAGTCCCCCTTCAAGATACTGCAGGCATCGCCGGGGTGACAAAAAAAGAAGTAGTGTGATTTCTTGTAATAGACCCTGTTTATTTCCCTTTAAAGACGCCCGCACAGGAATCCTACCCTAAGTTTTTGTTTATTTCCGGTGGCTTGGAGAATCAAGGAGCTTCCCGTCCGAATGCTGACATAGTATAGACTTTTACTTTAGAGGCGTTCCTATGCATAATAGCTCTGAGGCCACGTGGCGGCATTGTATACAACCCTAAACCCTAAACCGTAAAATTATGTAACATGATGTACCTTAACCTGGCAGAACCTACTGTTTTGTGGGTTCGTACTATACACCCTAAGATGCAAAGAAGTAGGTTTTGGTGGGTTAAGGTAGGTACAGGGACCTCCCAGCCCTTAGAATTTCATTCTTAGGGCTTCACGTAGTCTTAGCTTCGCATGCTTTACAGTGCTCATGCGGGACTCTAGCTGCAAATCCAGGGGTGCAAGGTCCATGCCTAAAGGGTCCCAGGTACTGTTATGGGGAATACTTCCCCAAATCAAACAGTAACTCCCAATATAGAAACCCCACATGCTACCGTACAGGTACTTAGGACCCTTTGGGCTTAGAATAGGGTTCCTTTACAGTAGAGGCCAAAAAGTTGGAAACCCCATAGCCTCGATCCTTAAGTGTAATGTATAGGGAATCCCAGCACTATTTGGCCTTGGAGATCTCAAGCGGCGCCGGACTTTTGGTTGGAAGCTTTGCGTCTCAGATATGCATTTTACCGTCGAGCACGGTTTAGGGGTTCAGGGTTTAGGGATTTAGGGTTTTGGGTTTAGGGGTTTAGGGTTCAGGGTTTAGGGAATTGGGGTTTTGGGTTTAGGGGTTTAGGGCTCAGGGTTTAGAGGTTAGGGTTGACTTGGTTGCGTAGTCAGTGCTGGCTCTGGGTATCGTGAAGGTCAGGAGTATACCACACGTGGGGGGGAAGGATAGTTTCTTAGTTACTACGTCCGACGATCCCTTAGTTTAATCCGAAACCCTAAACCCTTAAACCCCAACACCCCTAACCCTTAAACCCCAAAACCACCATTCTCCCCCCCCCCCCCCTCGGCTCTCCCCTCAAAAGAAATCAAAAGCCTTAAAGTCAGCTTCCAAAGCGGCCGCTTGGTTTGGAGGAGGTGGCTGGCCTGGAGAGCACGGGCATCGTCGATCAGAAGGCTCCCACCTCCTGCGCCCGCCAACATGAGCAGAGGATTGTGGAGTTCAGGCTTTTTTTATATATAGCGCTGAGGGTTAGGGGGATCTTAGGCTTCAGGGTTTAGGGTTTAGGACCAAGGGTGGTCTTTAGGGTTTTAGGGTTTAGCTGTAAGGGGTCTTGGGGTGTGAAGTGTATATTGGGTCCTATATGATTGGGAACCTTGAGTCGCAGCGCATAGGATGCAGGGTTCGGGTGCGAACGTTCTTGTCGAAGTGTTGTATGTGTGTTTCTAAATGCGAGTTCGCATTCAGGGGGCCTTGAATAGAGTTCTATTTTTTTGTTCAATTGGTGTTCATGTTTTCGGACCCGAGCATGCTGGCTCCACTGCCAGATGATAGGCCGGAGCCCCCAAAAAGGCCTTTACTGCGGGCCGTGCAGGGCTTTAAGCTGCAGCCGCCTTCCTCCGAAATCCGTATATACGGAGCCAGTTGCGTATAGTTTCAAGGTCGTTGTGTATGGCCCAAAAGGCAGCTCCTCGCAGAAAATTAAACGACTGTAAAACCTGAAGCCTAAACCGTAAACCCCATAGGGTTGATGATATACATCCTGCATTACCTTAAGGACCCTAAACTATGGGGAATATGTTATATTCCTTCTATTGTGGGTAGTGCAGGATTTATATCATCAACAGTAGCTCTGCTAGGCGGAGTCCCTTGGGATCTCTTGGCTATTCTGCGATTCTTACTTTTGGTGTCTCGTCCCACTTCCAGAGGTTCCGTCTGTTTGACGGCACTTAGTATCTCCTCTGGCTTCTTGCAGGGGGATCCTTTTTCTAAAGGTCGACATAATTGGGGCATATACTCCGGTATAGTCTACCCAAACGCCCCTTTGTTTGCTAAGAACCCTATCTTACGTGGTTCGAAGATCCCAAGCACCTGCGCCAAAAAGCGAACACAAGCCAACCACAACAAGCCTAAGACGCTAGCACTGGATCCCTGATCTTCAGGTGCAGGGGCTTAGGGTTTATAGGGGTTAGAAGAAAGATAGAGCCTACTGAGCCCACCTGTTGTGGACGATTGTTGGTGCTTGGCTTCGCGATGCTCTTGTGTCAAAAGCCTTATGCTGCAGACGTTGCGCAGTTGTTTTTTGTAGTCGCTCTTCGGTGGCTTTCCAGTTTTCGGATGCGACGGAATCATGCTGAGGGCTGCGGTCTCTTAGGGCATTTTCTCTCTCCCTTCAAGACCTTCCTGCATTCAAGATTTTTCGGCCAGAGTTGTAGGGACGGGTAGAAAAGACGGTGCGTTTCGGAACGAATTATGGAGCTTGGTGCAGAACCCGAACCACTGTGTATTGCCGGCATCATCCCAACAGAATGCTGTTGCGAGGCCCTGCAAGAAGTCTTGCTGCCCCCAGACAAGTTTATCGACCTGAGAAAGAAGGCACGCTGCTGGACGAAGAGTGGGAATGCAAGGGCGCGGATTTCTGCTGAAACCCAGAGCTCACCTCTGAACCTTATACCCTCAGATTGGCGTCCCGTTTGGAGCTCCGGGAGGGTGCAGTTTTCGGGCCCAGGGCTTTGCGTTTGGGAACTCGGAGTATTCCATAGACGAGCTCCTACCCAGAGGCTCCATAGTAGTTCCTTTTTGGGATTACCTTATAGGATTCTAAATATGAACCCCAAAAAGGAACTACTATGGAGCCTCTGGGTACAGCCAACGGGCCTAGAGTTTGCAGATCACGTATGTTCCGCGCAGGGTTCTACTCATTCTAGTCGTGTAATTCATTCCAACACCATCCACATGAGCCCCTGAAGAGTTGAAATAAAGAACCACCACAGAAGCGGTGTCTGAGCGGAGTCGACGCCCTAGAAAGTGAAACCCAGAAGATGTTTCATTGCGCAGCATTGCGTTGCTGTATGGATCCATTTCAGGGTTCCTAAACTGTTCCTATAAAACTTCCTACAAGTGTGACTGAAATCCGTGAGAATCACATCGCAGAGTGTGGAGCTCAAGAGTTTTAAAGCCGATCGGCGTCTTCAAGTCCGTATGAAAGCCACGGAGCTGTAATCGGAAGACTTCAGTCGCAGTGCTCCTTCAGCTTGAAGTGTCCGGGCCCCCGATAGAGACTTTGGACATACCTATAGTCTCCATTGTAGTTCCTTTTTCTGGTTAACCCAAAACTCTATTATAGGATCCCAACCATAAAACTGGTTAACCAAAAAAAGGAACTACAATTGAGACTATAGGTAGACCATACTGTCGCTGCTTCAATTGTTCACCCTTCTAACTTGATCCGAAACAATGGGCTCGAGCGTGATAGACACGCAGTCCTAGTTGTTCCGCAATTACTATAGAGGCCTTAGTAGTTATAATGGGGTTTGTGGGCCATTAGATATACTATAATTGTAATAAGGAGCAGGCCCCTATATTACGTGCATGCGTGGTGCTGACATTAGGGCTCAGGGTTTTGGGGGCTCATAGAGGTTCCCAGACCTTCCAAAATCCTTTAACTAAGGAATATACCTTAAATCATAGTAGGATCCCTAATATGATTTAAGGTATAATCCTTAATTAAGGGACCCTAAACCCTAAACCCTAAACCCTAGAGGCCTCGGATTTTGGAAGGTCTGGGTTCATAGGGTTTGGCGGTCTGGGGTTCCGGATTCAGAGTTCACGCATGTTTTTGGCACTACCCAGACCTTCCAAAATCCCTTAATTAAGGAATATCACTTAAATCATATTAGGGATACTCCTTAATTAAGGAATATAGACCTTATAAACCATATTAGGGATATATTCCTTAGTTAAGGGATTTTGGAGGGTCTGGGTGGTGAAATCACATTCGGCACAGCTTATCCCCTAAACCCTAAACCGCACCTTCCCGTATTCGTCCAAGCTCGAGGAAAGCAGATCCGCCACACAAACTCAATTACAGATGTTGAGGGCAATCGACACATATTCAACTGTAGATATGTATCGTAGCTGCTTCAAGTTTCGCAATTCAACTTCAAGTTGAAGGTGAAGTGCGTGAGCACAGCAAGTAGAGGGCTTCACTGCGCTGTCTTGTAGGCTCTCCGTTTTGTGCAACAGCGGCCATGACCACCAACGAGCTGCAGGCGGAGATCGAGACCACCAAACTGAGGCTGCAAGCAGCAGAGGCGCGGTCTCGCGAAATTGATGAAGAAATTCTGCGGGCCACGGAGCGGCAACGGTTGCGACGGGAGCTGGAACAGCTGCAAGAGAAGCTCGATGATAGGACACAGGCGAACCTGGCGGACGAAGCATTCACAAGAGATATCGACGCGGACGAGGATGGAGATTTTGTCGCTTTGCCGCCTTCGGGTCAAGCGGTCCCACAGCATACCCAGAAAAGCAGTGTGTTTGCCGTTGAGGATGTGTGTACGAACTTCGGCCATAAAATCCTGAAAGGGGAGTTCACATGGAACCTTCTCTCAATGTCTTGGCTTCAAACGGCACTTCTCCAAGAACGTAGACCTTTTGCGGACTGTGGCATGTGCCTTGCAGACGCGATCTCGTTCAAGTTTGTTTACAATCCCTCCGCTGGCCCTCTCGGGTGTATGACTCATGGCAAGCACATCTGCGGTTCCCTTGCCATACGGTCATTTGCGTTCGTACCAGACGGGCCCTTGACATTGCAATACGCGCTGCGCTACAGCATATACGTCAAAAAGAGTAACGGGGACTTTGTCCAGTGGGGTTCTACACGCGATGTCGTCCTGAGCTCTGATAGTTATGGGCTGGCCCATGGCCCGGATGTGCACGTAGAAGGATCCCCTCCGGCAGCAATCGGAGTCTTTGGTCTGACACATGAGCAACTGTTGCAATCAGAGTGGGTCCACGACGACACTTTGACTTTGAAGTTCGTTTTGGAAGTCCGTTGTCCTGGAATCCTTCGCACAGAGGTTGCGGCCGTGGATTCCGTGGATGTTCCGGAACCGACCCTGCATCGCGACACGCTGGCTCTACTCGAGGAAGCTGGTTGCAGTGACATGCAGTTTAGGGTGCAGGACAGGGTGATCCCGGCTCACTCTCAAGTTCTTTGTGCCAGATCGGAGGTGCTCAAGAAGCAGCTGAACTCTGGAATGCAGGAGTCCAAATCCAAGGTTATCATGATTGAAGACTGCAATGTGGTCACCTTCAAAGCCTTTTTGAGGTTTCTCTACACTGACACCCTGCCCACTGCAGAGGAGCTTGCAGCGGAGCCGTCGAGCCAAAATTTGAAAGAAGATGGCAGTCGGCATCCGTCACCGATGGAGGCTTTGTGGACAGTCAGTCACAAGTACCAGGTGGGGCGATGTCAAAGGTTATAACTTCTGTCGTCAGAGCCCCCCCACTTAGTAGGTTTGGTGCCGTAGGTCGTACATGCACCCGCACACACAAAGACACACATGCGCACGAAAACATGCACGAATATGTGGATGTATACATATACCTACATACATACGTACATACCTACAAGCATACACATAAACATTTACATACACAGATGCGTAGACATGTAATTAAACATATCATTCAAATATATGCGTACACGCTAATGAACGTAATAACATGTATACATGCTCATACATGCCTAGACGCATGCATACACACATACACGAACATCCATCCATCCATCCATCCATCCATCCATGCATGCATGCATGCATCCATCCATCCATCCATCCATCCATCTTTTTTGCATACACAGGTACATACAGACATACAGGCATGCAGACACACATACATGTATACATGTATATGTAAGAAAGACCTTTATGTACTATTTTGGCGCTGGGCTTTCTGTAGAGTATGATGACTCCAGCCCAGCCTCCAGCCCTCGGCTCATGTAGTTTTTAAGATGTTGAAGAAGTTTGTCCCCAGCCCCGCCAACAAGTTTTCTAAAAATATTTTAAAACATAACTCCGCCGATGTAATTTTTTAAACATTTTAAAAACATAAATCCCGGCCTCCGACACGTAGCCCTGCCCTGGGCTAGGGGTCAGCCGGGAGCATTTAAATTGTTAAAATAGATCGGTCCATTTATTTTTTAAAGGTTTTAAAGAACTTAGTTCCAAGCCCCCAATTAGATATTTAAAAACCTTTAAAAATATATAATTTCTTTAAAGGTTTTACAGATTTTTAAATTTTGAAAATTTAAATCCCGGCCTCCGACCACTAGCCCCAGCCGGGAGCATTTAAATTTTTATAACCTTTAAAACATAAATCGGCCCCCTAGCCCTGCCCTGGGCAAGGGGTCAGCCGGGAGGATATACATATTTGGAATCTTAAAAACATAAAACATCAGATTTAAAGATTTTAAAGATTGTAACGAATTTTAACAGTTTAAAACCCGGCCTCCGACCCCTAGCACTGCCCTGGGCTAGGGGTCAGCCGGGAGCATTTAGATTTTTAAAAACCTTTAAAATCGTTAAATAATTAAGTCGGCCCATGTAGTTTTTTGAAAGATTTTTAAAAACTTAGTTCCCAGCCCCGCCAATTTGTTTAAAGAACCTGTCCACAATTATTTCGGCCGATTAATTTTTTTCAAAGATTTTAAAGAATTTAGTTCCCAGCCCCGCCAATTACATTTTTAAAAACCTTTAAACACATAATTCGGCCGATTCATTTTTTTAAAGATTTTAAAGATATTCGGAAAATTTAAATCCCAGCCGCCAGCCTTCGGCCCCAGCTAGCTCTCCGGCCTCTACCCTGCGCTTGGCCTCTGCCACCGTCCCCTGCCGTTGCCCGTTCCCCCTGTCGCCTGCCTCCGGCCCCGGCCTCAGCACAACCATCGCAACCCTGCTTTGTAGGAAAACCCCCGTGAAAGCAGCATGACCTGGTACAGAAACGCAAAGACTAGACATGATTATTCATGACAGTTTTCTGGGCATGTTCGGGTTTGCTCAACATGTTCGGGCACTTCCAGATAATTACCTATATAGTCAGGTAGAGCGGCTTCAGCGGTGGTGCGAAGCGCAGCTGTGCAAACAGCTCAGCTCAGAGCGGGTCTGCAGCATCCTTCGCCAGGCACACGTTTTCGAGGCCACACAGCTCGAGAAGGTTTGTCTCTCCTACATCAAAGACAATTTTGCTGAGGTGCTCAAGCTTCAGGCCTACAGTGATCTCATGAGCAAATGGCCTGAGGTTGCCCTGAAGGTTCAACTCTTTTCGACCGGTGTGTCAGAAAGCGAGGCAGCTGCAGTCGTGCAGGCTCGCAAGGTACGAAAGTTGGAGGATGGATCGGAGAAGACTGCATAGATCGCAAGATCGCAAGTGCAGCTGATAGCAGTGGCTATGGCATTGCTCTCGTTTTTTTCTGTAGCTGCATGGTGCGCATTGAAGGCTATGTCCGGCCCTGCCGATGATTGTTAAAATTTGCTTCGACATTGCTATGCGGCCCTCTCAAAGATCGCAAGTGTTTTGGTGCGAGCAGGGTGAGTTTGGAAAGCTTTGTGATAAAGGGGGCAGTTTTGGAAAGGGCCATTTGGGAATGATTTTTGGGCTTCCTGAATGTCTCGCGGAACATTGCAGGATCCCAATTAAAAGATTCTAGAAGTAACTAGGCTTCTTAGAACTTCAGTAGACTTGCAAGAGAAAAGCAAACATTTTATTATCATTTCGAGCGCATGTCGTCGTGAACGAGTGTATCAGAATTTGCACCCAGCAGGCCTGAACCCGCTCCCTGCGCCTTAGATCCTGCCAGCGAGCGGGCAGCAAGAATCCCAATCACGCACCTGCAATCCTGAAGCCCCAATTCTTAAGACAAGACTCTTCTACTAGGTTTTTCTACAAAAGCCGACCAAGCCCTAAGACTAGGCTGTTCCACTAAGCTTATCGCCAAGAATCTGGCAACCCGCTGGGAACGGCCTTCCATACTGCCACGACAACTGCTACTCCTTCTGGAGAGGTCGACAGCGAGCTGCAATGCCGAGCAGAAAGGAAGGAGGCACGGAGGGTTTAGGGTTTGTAGGGCTTGGGGTTCAGAGCGTTGCGTTTGGTATAGGGTTTAGTTTAGGGTTCCAGGGTTTAGGGTTATGGGGCCTCGGATTAGGCTAGAAGCCTGAAACAATTGCTTTGAACAGTATTGTTTAGTGCTCCATACTTATGTCTCTACGCGGTTATACCCCCAAACCCTAGTTTAATAATCATTAATAAGGCCCCTGCATTAGGAACTGCGTAAAGCCCCATCGAGCACTGTAAGACCCCTCCCCATCATCGAAATACAGTGTTGTGACAGCCTGTACGAGCCCATGGAAGCCTGGAACTGTTTTATAAACTGGAACGGTTTGGTTTGGTTGCAGGGGAAGGTTGATGTTCACGGTTGGGGGTGCCGGCGTTGGGTTTCTATTGGTTCTACTCGAACTTGTTGATGCACAGCCTAGCCTGTATAACTTATCATGTTGCAGGGATTCGTGATTGAATAATCCTTGCAGACAGAAATAAGCCTCAGTTGTGCTTGATAGAAGGCAGGGTTCATCAGCTGGTGCTGGACGTTTATGTCTGAGCCACCCTGGCGATTTATGTCGCAGTTGTAGGTTTTCCGTTCTCGCATTTGCCATAGGAAGCTTTGGCAGCGAGACCTCGGCTGCATACAAGAAGTCCCCGCTGCATCTTCCAGCGAGTGGGTATAGGGAGATTTGCATGCCGTGGGTGTGCAGTGCTGAAGGTTTCGGGTTTGAGGATTCGAATTTCGAGTTTCCGGTTTCGAGTTCAGGGTTCAGGGTAGAAGATGTGGAGTTTCGGTCAAAGGCGCAGTTGAAACCCTTACACTTAGCCCTCGTAGTAGTAAGCCGGAGTCGTCACGCCCCAGGCCGCAAGGGAGGATGAGGATGATCACTCCAAGGAGGTCGAGATCAAGCCCACCATGGAGGAGATGTTGTGTTTCGTCTTCAGAGCGCAGGATTTTGGAACTCAGAGGTGAAGGTGCTGCGTGCTGCTATTCTTGGTGTGGGATGGTGAGGGTAGCGGCATGATGGCAATGATCATATAAGGGCCTAGATCGCTACCTATACTATTTTGGGGGTTCCTTATTATAAGTATAGTGTAACGGGGGCCCAAAACCCTATTCTAATTATTAAGGCCGCTATATTAGTGACATGTTGATGGTGGTGGTCAAGGTCTTGATCATGATCATGAACTCTCCAATTTCGACTTATCATGACCGTGGTTTGTTGTCACCACATGTGGAAGTAGCCCTACAACTACTGTCTTTCCCGGTCGACTGTTGCGGGTGTTTTTGCAACTGCTGCATCATGTCTTTCCACAATACCCCTGTTATGATGCAGTCTTTAATTACTATATACCGCGTCGTGCTATACTTCTGTTTTGAAATGGTTAAGGCCGTCTCTAATTCTTTCACAGTCGCGACCTCGATACTTAAAATCGTGTTTCGGTGCCTTTTTGTTGCGCTTTTACAGAGGGGCCATGGGGTGATATCTTTGCTACACACACGGACCCCTACATGTTTGTGCCGTTCGAGTCATGGCTGTGTATGCACATCGCAGTTACCGGAGCTTTCGAAAAACTTGGCCTTCAACTGGTATGGGGTTTAGGTCGAGGTTTCAAGGTTTGTGAGTCAAGGTTTGGGGTTTTGGGTTGATTGACGCGAATTGAAGCACAAAGAGAAGGCCCAACACCCCAAAAGCTGAAAATACTACACCCCCCTACAAAACCCTAAACTTAACAACCCTAAACCCTAAACCCTAGAGGAGCTTTCGGAGAAGTATGGCATGGCCCAATCGCGTCTTGACTTCTTCCACGACCTGTTCCAGAGCTTCCTACCGCCCAACAAGGCCGGATAGGAAGGGCCTGACGGTCTGGGGTTTTGGGTTTAGGCTTTATACCTTAACCTACCAAAACCTACAAAAAAAGCAGGGTCCCTATAAATTCCATATTCGGGTTTATAATCAGAACCTACAAGGGGGTCTGGGATTTTTGGGTTTAGGCATTATAGGGCTTTGGATTTCGGGTTTAGGGTTTAGGCTGTATACGGCTTAGGGTTTAGGATTTTGGGTTTGGACTTTAGAGGGCTTAGGATTTCGGCTTTAGGGGTTTTGGGTTTAGGGTTTATAGGGCTTAGGGTTTAGGGTTTTGGGTTTAGGCTTCAAAGGGCTTAGGATTTAGGGTTTAGGGGTTTAGGGGTTAGTGTTTTTGTTGGCTTAGGTCCCTAGAGTTTCGGGAGCCACAACCACCCCCCGTGGCCAGTACAAAGATGGCATGTGCTTTGTTTCAATAACTTCTGGTTTGCGGGGAGTTGCATCGTTCCGCAGCATCTTCGAGGATGAAGATTCCAGCGAGGTTTGGAGTTGTTCAGCTTTGTAAAGCTGAACAGTCGACCCTACAGCCACATATAAGGGACTCTGGCTATAGGAGTGTCGTATCTTATTGGGACGAAGGACAGCGGTTTAGTAAGAGTGCATGAGACGTGCAGGCAGATGTACTATCGGCTCATTCCACCGAAAATACATAACAAATAGGAGTCCTAAAGCCTAGGTGCCCGCAATAGTCTAGGCAGACTTTGCAGACCGTGGCTTTTCATGTCTTTTGGTATTTGTTTATCTTTTTAGGGTTCAGGGGTTCAGCATCTAAGAAGAACATCGTACGAATCCGACATAGTAGAAATGCTGTGAGTGCTAGACAGCCTGCTACTTCTGGAGTAGATACCGACAAACTATGCAATTAGTTCTCCAATCCCCTGGACTCTGGACAAGCCGGAGCTTGGGGTCAGAGTCGCAGTCCTCGGCTTGGGGTTTAGGGTTTACAGTCTGGGGCCCTAAACCCTAAACTCTAAGCCCTAAACCCTGATTCAGCGGTTTAGTTGCAGCATTGGCCGGGCCAGCAATTCCCAGACCATTCCCCAAGGGTCCATGTACCCAAATAGTATATACTTTGGGCCTAATGTACCTACATAGGGAGTACTTTAAGGCCAATGTATATACTATATGAGTACATGGACCGTTCGGGAGAGGAAAGAACCAACCACTGAATCCAAACCCTGCCCTTTGTCCCTATACCCTAAACCCTAAACCCCTAAACCCGAAGCCCCTATAAACCCTAAGCCGTACATGGACCCTTAGGGATTGCCAGCAAACCATTGCCAGCTCCACTCATTGAAGCGCAGCAAAAAACGCCAACGATAAAGCTGCTTTGCTGGGAAACATGCTCCTCACTGTCATCGTCATCGTATCCATTTATGGTCCCGTGAAGTTTTAATGCCAGCAGTGTTCGTATTCTTACTCTTCTGATTGTGCTTATTCTTCTTCTTAGTTCATATATATATATATATATATATACAGGTGGTTGTCAAAGTTGTGGTCCCTTTTTGGGTCCTTATTATAGTACGGCATCTAACAGTCAGGGTTCCCCCAAAAGGGACCATAAGTTTGACAACCACCCATGCTGTTCTTTAAAACCCTATAGTAGTCCCTGATCCCGGTTGGACCAGGATGGTAGTCCGGGGATCTGCGGCTATCCAGAGAATCCTGCCGTGCCTGGCTCGGTGGTCTCGGTGGAGTCTCGCTGGGCTTTTAGGGGTGGCGATTGAGGGATGTTTAGGATTTTGTGTCTCGGTCGAGTTTCGCTTGGTTTTAGGGGTAGTTTCCTTCATGTTGGCTTACCAAGTTGACAGAAAACATCCTGGTCGCCCTAGCCTTCGGAGCATGGAATCATATCATACTCAATAGGGGACCCTAATATTATATCCTAAATGGTAGGATCCTTATTATAAGGAACCCAAAATAAGGTAAACAAAAGCGCCATGCCGACCAGGCTTTGAAGACGTTGAGTCTCATGTTGGAATGCTACCATAAGATATCGTGCACTTCCAACAGGGTGGTTTTAGGGTTTAGGGCTTTAATAGGGTTGTTTAGGGTTTTAGGGAACTCGGATTTTGTCAATGCTCGCGACCGCAGTGACCCCAAAGCCGTGCAAACAGCGTATGCTTCAAGCAGTGTTGCATCCTGGACCAACTCAAGTCCCGAATCCATACTTGGCACCCCTGAAACCCGAAAATGCAAACCTACAAGCTCGAATCCCACTGTACAGGACCAGAAAGACGTTCAGACATGTTTTACCCTTTGTAACCACAGTAACCTGGTGAAAAACCTCACTCAACCTTTAACCCCCTAGCCCAAACTCCTAAACCCTAAAGCCTAAACCTTAAACCCTAAACCCAAACCGTATCAAGCTACACGGTAGTAGTGCCCTGATCGAACCCTTGAAAATGAGCTTTGAAGGATGCCTTGAAAGTAGACCCCTTA